TGTAGGAAATATTGGTCAAGGTCCAAGACGTCTCTTGGGAAACACCGGGTATAACATCCCAAAGAATCTTAAGCGCAACGATCAGAACAATGTGGATGGTCCACGCCCCTGTTGATATTTCCTTATTAGTTAAAAATTCCAAATACTAGAGCAAACAGGTCATAAAAACCCATCATGACTTCTAGGAAGTATATCCCTTGACGTACCTTTAGCGTTGACCCAGTTCGCATTGAGATTCGGGAGGGTGGACTGGTCGTTCAGCTGCTCTATCGGTTCCTGTGGTTCTTGATATATCTGAAGGATGCTGCTCGACCGCCGCCTCCTAGCCGACTTAGAGTCTCCCATATCGAGATATGTGGTACCTCCCCGTCTTGGAGGATTTGTACCAGCGTCGTAAGAGACGGTGCGGGGAATGAGGATTGGGGAAGACACTTTGGCGGTATTGGACGTAGAATTCGAGTTGGATTTCTCGGATTTATTCGTCATCCAGATAGCTCAACCCGGATAACTATATTTTATTTGCTCCTCCACGTACGGGAAAGATCGTACACGAATACGATATCGTTATTGTGTCGATAGTTGGAGAGGACAAAAAAGAAAAGCCTAGCTAAGTGCTAGACGCGAGGGCGTAAAAGGTCGGAGGACTAAGTAGTCTAAAGGGTATCGCAGAAAATGCAGCCGATGCCGAGGAGTTAGGGAAAAGCTAGGGATGCCGTGTTAGGAGAGGAGAGTCGTAAAAGACATGAGGGATCGAACGTCGAATGCGAGATGATGCAAGATAAAGCGAGGAGAGTTTCTAGTACCGTAGCCCCTAGAACATGGGGAAAAAAAGACGTGGAGTGGAAATAATTGATTGGTGATGAATACAATTAATTGAAGTGTATTACGAATAAAGTGGAAGATGACGAAGTTTAGAAGAATGTTAAAGAGGTTAAGAGAGAGGTCAGGTAGTAGAATCTAGAGACAAGAATGGTTATGGAAGGTGATGATCAAAGAGTAGCAGCGAAGTAAATCAGCAGCATTTGAACAAGGACAAGTTTACGAGATGGATACAAGAGCCTGGAAGGGCCAAGATTTAGAAGGTTTCCATTGGACGACACCATTGGACTGCATTGGACTAGGGGGGGGAACAACTGCCAATTACCAATAATTTTCCATTACCCTCAATTTCTCAATTTCTTAAGTTAACCGGGTTAAGTACTTTTCTAGCTAAAATGTACTAGGTATATACTAGGTGTGTACTAGGTAGCTTTGCACAGCCTGGACCGCGTGGCTGCAGCTGGAGATTTCGGGCATTTGCTGGGTCTCCGGTCATCTAAGTACCCGGTAGGTTAATCTTGCGTTAAGCTTTGCTCCAAAGGTACCTTAGGTACACGGAATAAGGGTCAGGGGTACTAGAAAGTCTCACGAGACCACGTGATGTTCTATGTAGTCTTCCATTCCTTCCCAAGCAGTCGGGCTCCGCGGAATTCGACTTAAATTCTTTATCGATTCTTAGGCTAAGTAGTTATACTGTTTAGATGGGTAAAACCTATCAATCTAAAGCGATATACGGTCCCCGCTAAGGTTACTCTAATCTGGTTACATGATTAGCGTGTTTCAATTTATAGATCGCCACAGTGAAATCTGCTCTCGCTCGGACGTCTTAGCCCCTTAGGACGCAACCCGTATGCAGATTTTACACGGTACACGGTACGGCGGACTTCGTACATGTGCCCAGTAACGAAAATGTTACCAGGGTCCAATTAATTTCTGAAAAACATTTGAAGAGCCGCATCATCAACATTCATCAATTTGATGATGTACATGACACTGACACTGACACCTACCCACCTTCGAACCCTTTTGAATAATACGCTTTTTTCGAAGTTGCGATCCGCAAGGGAAGATCATTTCATTCCCGTCTACAATATCTGAATTACGCTTTCTATCCTATTTCGAGACTGTAAAGAGTGTGTGAAAAAAGGGATAACAGGTATTTTGCCTCGGGAAGAAGTATCAGTATCTTATCTTCTTGCCTTGTCTTGCGCAACTGAGACCTATGATTCACTAAGAACGCGGCGGTCGCAGCAAGACCACAGGCAGGTAAGCTTTAATACTGTATTGTATTGTTTTGCCCCACACGACGTATTCTACGCCTGTGGATTTCAATATTTTTTTTATTTGCCCTCCCCTCATCCACGGCATCACCATTTACTCATTATCGCCCCGGCCCTCCACTAAACTGTGATGAGCGGCTCTACCGAGGCATCCGCCCCTAACGCCGGCCAGGGCGATATTGGTACTCCTGGTAGCCTACCAAGCCAAAAACGTCCACTCGACTATGGTGAGCAACTGAAGGGCCTGTCCCCATCTGATGATGAGGATCACCCGAAGGACACTTCATTGCCAGCACAGAAGAAACAGAAAAGGGACGATTCCCATAGTGGTGATGATTCGGATCTGGACGACGGCGAAATAGTAGAGTCGAGTCCAACTAGTCCAGCACATGCCAATTCCGTCGCGGACACTCCCTCCAAAACACCTGCCCCTGACAACGTTGCGCGTGAGCCTTCCGAGGATGGTGAGATTGGTAGCCCCATGGCCAAGCCTCAGGAGTCTAAGGAACCGGACCAACCTTTCTTCATCGATAAGACTGGGAGCAAGCCTGTTCAACACTCCGGATGGAATCAAGGGCTGAGTCTAGGTGCGAGAACGTCGTTTGGGAAGCCAGCTGCACAACTATTTCCCGCATCTTCGCAGCGCGGTCATGAAGACAAGGGTAGTCGAAATGGCGGTGGCGACGAAAGAGAAGAAGATGATGATGACGATGAAAAGGATAGAGATTACGTGCCGCCTGCTGAATCGCCCGACGATCAGCCACGCGTCTCATTTACCGTTGATGGAAGCACGTGGTATCTTCCTCATTTAACCTTTCGAGCTAAGAAGCATTCTGTTCATACGCCGGCCTTCTTCAATGATAGAATTCAGACCTGGATTAATGCATTTCTCGAAACAAATGAAAAGGCGATTGATCGCGTGTCTGCTAAAGTGATCCGAGAAGGGTTTAGCGGCCATTTAAACCGCAAAGGAGGAGAGAGACTTTTCAAGGGCACCAAAAAACATGCCGATACTGCTACAAGTGCAGCTCAAAAAGCTGTGGATGACAGTGGACTTGAAGAATTAGTTGAGAAAAAGGTTAAACAGTTCCGAGCACGAAAAGCCAAGCCAACACCCAAAAATTCCAAAGAAAGCAACGCTGCTTCGGCTAATGAGCCTAGCCAAGATACCGTCCCCGTTACAGATAAACGGGAGGAAGTATTGGACGGCGAGGACGAACTGCGGCAACAACGAAGGTATTTCCCATGGGCAGAAGACCCAGCTCAGCATTGTCTATCCTGCTCCGGAACAGGGCATCGTTCTGTTGAGTGTCCACAACGCAGCTGCAAATTTTGTGGAAGTCAGGAACACTCTTTGTTCGGCTGTCCCACGAAGCAAAGGTGTTCCAAGTGCTATCAATTGGGACATAGCAGCGCAAGCTGCGAGGAGAAACTTGCCCTTGCATATGATGAGCAAGACGGCTGTGCAATATGTGGCGCCGAGCATGCAGAAGAATGGTGCTCTGAAATATGGAGGAGCTTCGCTCCAATTACTAATATCAATACCAAAGTTAAGGATGTTCCAGCGTTCTGTTACACTTGCGGTGCCACAGGTCATTACGGGCCAGAATGTGGTTTGCCAGATAGGGGAGATAAGGTAACGGGAAAGACGACATGGTCACAAACCAATCGCCTTCTTTACACGGATCAGAATAGCGAGAACATTGCTATCGCTTGGGTCGGTGTAGAGGGAAAGGAAGATTTCCATATTTTGGGAAGGGCCAAAAGGCAAACACACACTCATTTCGTCTCTAGCGAAGAATCAGAAGAAGAGTTTGTCCATGCGCCCGTCAGGAAGGCAGAACCTCGAGGTCAGATTAGGATAGCAAGCAATATCGGATCCTTAGGACCGAGTGGTAATAATGGCCGACCGCGGCGCAGTAACGACCAGAGTTATAGGCGTCGGAACGAGAAAGAGTTTTCACCTCCGCCTCCATCGCCGTATGGTCAAGGCAACGGGACTTCTTGGCAACCACCTCTTCCTCCAGGACCGCCACCACCCCTTCAGAGGAACGGATACCAAGGATCATTACCATCTGCGCCCACATCTTTACCTCCGCGTCCGCCAGCCTACAATCAGTCGCCTAGTAAAGGCGGTTCAGGCGGCAGAGGCGGCCATTTTAACCGAGGTGGACGGGGTGGGCGAGGTCGTGGAAGGGGTAGAGGACGAGGATAATCATTTTATTACATTAACAGTATGCTTAATAACTTCCCTAGGTGGGCCATCCTCATCGAGTTATTCCACGAGTAGTTCGACCCCATGGCCGATTACATCTGATAACCCAAGACGTGAATTGACTAAACTTAATATGAAGCAAATTGATATGGGTGCTTCATGCGTACCTATTCAAGACCAGATGCTGATTGCTGGTCCGCTATTCTTCATCTACCAAGCTTTTACCCTTTATCCCTAGCCGTCTTCTATGTCTTTAAACTTGAGCTTCATATCACTAGCATGACGGAGGCATGGCTGAATGAGCTCTTCTGTGCTCTTATGCAAATATTTCTATACAGCTTAGGTCAGAATCATGACAGGCCGAAAATTAGTAAAAATATCGGATATCGACTTCTCAAACTACCCAGAGCGAAGTCGCCCCGATGAAAGCCTTGAGACTGTCGCTTAAGTTGTCCGTCTTTTCATTCGTTCTTCCATCAACACTTCCTACCACCTACGGACAAGGTTTCTTAATAGAATACCATGTGCACAATGACACAGACACAGCTTACCTCTAGTACCGGTGAGTTTAGTCCTAATCTTTTGCACACTAACCATCCACAGCCAAGGGGGGTTCACTTTTAGCGGGAATTTACCACGAGTCATTCCATCAACATCCGACCGGATGGTACACCATCCCCCAGTCGGCCCGGTTAGCTCAATCGGTAGAGCGTGAGACTCTTAATCTCAAGGTTGCGGGTAAGTTCATCTGAGGTACATATCTCACGATCATCTGGCTAACATCATCTCAAAGGTTCGACCCCCGCATCGGGCTCAATTCCTGATGCTTCCCAGATAACTGGGATTAGCAACCCTACTTTTTTTTTTTTTTTTTTTTTTGAGCTAGCTCCTGGCCTAGCCTCATACTTAGAAAATGGGCCGTTCTGCCTTGATGAGTTCGAATATTTTTACTAGGGCTTGTTTGTACTCGGAATTAATGTCGGTCCGTCCTTGAATCCCTTATACGTCTAACACATCGACAACCACATTTTGTTCTAGGATATAGGTTAGGATCGTAGGATCTTGAGCGATTTTCCAATGAGATACTTTGAGCGCCCTATGCATTATCAACCGATCCTGCTCCATTGACCTAACATCCACCGTCAGCCATCGTTAAAACATTATTACGAATATGTACGATTCAACGTTCAGCATACGGAATGCCCGCTGTATAATGGTCTCGCAGGGTAACATGGGCTAGTTTAGCAGGACTGTCATAAGGGGTGTTATTGGACCCGTCTGGACAAGAAGTTTGGCTCATTACTCACTAAAATAATGAGACATCAACAATTTGTTTGTCCCAAATGACAAGCAAACCGAGTCTCACGTGATTAGCGAAAAGAATGATGCTGTTTGCAATAATACAGCATACATATATCGCCTCATATCAGTCATAAATTTTGCCCGTTTGGAACATAGGGGTAAGTACGAGAAGTATCGCAAGTAAGCGCTAAAGTGCTGTTAAGTACCAACAATGCACGTTGGCTCTCGTGTAAAAAGCTTAATCTGACCTCAAGATAAACTGGAGGACTGTTATGTAAAGAGTGTTCGCAGGCGTTTGCGGGGTTATCGGAAGCCATGTTCTATTATGTTGGTAAAAGGACTCGAAGCTTGTACGATAACACTTTATAATACGACCTCATCAATCGCGGGGTAATTGTGTAGATAGATGTATGCTATGTTTCACTCTAAAATTACCTCTTACAACTATGCTGTCGCGTACCACATAATTGCTAAAACTAACTGACTATTTGAGTCACAACGTAACGCACAGTCCTCGCATGCTCACCAAAGATATTTGGCTTCGGGCGTGGCAGCGGTAAAAACTCCATGTTTACCTTCCAAGACGTACCAGTCCTCTTCCCTACCTCATCCCACAGCGACTGGAACGTCGTCTGGTCATGCATGAATACCTTGAACTTCTCTACCTCCCCCGGCTTCTCGCTACCTATGTGTCTCCCGAACAACACGGCTGGGTTGTCCGCGCTCAAATCGCTGCGGAAAAAGCGCACAATGCGCTCGCAGATGATGAGCTGCGACTCCCAGCTAAACAGGTGGAAGAAATTCGACGCGTGTACGATGGACATCTTCCCGTTGAACAACCGGGCCAGCGGGCTCGCTGCGTACTCTTCGTCTGAGAGAAGCATGTCCCCTGCTACGAGAGTGGCGTTCAACGTCTCGCGATCGCGGAACTGCTCGTAGCCTAACTCGAGGAACTCGGCGTGTAAGTCCGTTCCGTACAGCCGTTTCGAATCGACTCCCGCGTAGGCGAGCCATCGGATAGTCTGGCATATAAAGCCGCCAATTTCCAGGAAAGTGTCTTGCGAGCCGGGCGCCTTGAGACGCTCGGTGGCCTTTTGCATCTCCGGCTGGGAATCGCCGAATTGGAGGAGATGGAGGTAGGTGAAGGAGCCGATGCACGGGTACTTGACGACTTCCCAAGCCTTGTCCCGCTACAAGACGCGATGATTAGAGAGAGAGAGAGAGAGAGAGAGAGAGAGAGCTAGTTCTGGTAGGTGGAGGTTGGTTATTCTCTTACAATTCGAAAGATTTCCGCTTCGACTTCGTTTGGGGGTATCTTGCTGTAATTCTCTAGAAGCTCACGAAACCGGTTATTTTGCCACGGGATCACGTCCGTGTGCATGTCCTTTTCCCATGCTCCGCCGTCGTCAGCGCCGAGCTGCTTTTCTGTCTCCTTACCCCACTTCCCCAAGTTACCAGTGGTGTTGATGCTAGCCATACCGAAGTATGTTAGAACTGAGTTTATAATAGTTGTCTCCGGTATTGGGATTAAGAGAGAGAGAGAGAGAGAGAGAGAGCGAATGACAAAATAGCGCTAATGATGTCGGTTCTATATTTATTATCTTCTAAGAAGAGGCTTTTGAGAGGTTAATTTATATGTCGCATAAGCACAGCACTTCGTATTGAACACGAGTACCTATCTAATACATGATATAATTGGGTAATAATGTAGTACTGAGTTGTACTAGCAACCATGTTGCCTTTCCTATATGAGGCAGCGATTATCTTCCAGCAGCAACATCCAGACATTGTGGTCAAAATCGAGTAGTTGAAAAGTCATCAGACCGTTACCTCGCACTTCGGAAAGATATTACGGTCGCGAACGCAACAGCGACGACACGCGGTCGTATTAAACCATGAGATTTTACCCGCTGGGTGGTACCGTCCAGTAACTAATTCCCAGCAATTCCCGGCCCCTATTAGTGCCTGTGCATACTATGTAAGTCGGATGGTCCGAAGCTTCACAAAATCAACATCAAATTATTCTTCGATAGTACAGCTCTATCCATATATCAGACACATGTTAAATAATTGAAATATTCCAATTCAATACACACCTTTTAAACTTTATATCGTGAACCAGCCTCTATTATTAATACCTCAAACTCCCCGCCCAGCTCTACGCGGTTATCCTCTTGGTGCGGTTGGAGCTCAAAAGAAGCCGTGCTGCACGAAAGTGAATGGAAAATTGTGCTCTCTTTAACAGTAGACCATCTCCATCCCAACCCGGCAAAAAAAGGACCACCTTCTCAACACCGAAGGGGATAAACTTACTACGCTTCAAATCCTTTGCACGGAATGCAACGTGCTTGATCTGTTTGACGTTCTGCGACATTTCAAGGGGTTAAAACGTAGGGGGCATTGATCCTTGGATAGCCACGAACAAATGGGCGGCGAACCCAGCAGGCGGGTTTGTATCGATCGATGTTCCTAGCAAGAATCCGACTCCGACCCTCCAATGTATGACCCTGAGGATCTTGTCCGCTGCTTAGCAGGCCAATTCTTCTCACCACCAGACGTGCCCGAAGGCGACGAAGTGAGACGGAAACCTCAGATGAACGACTGTAAATATGTCTGGCAAATTGACTGCATGGGTTAGCCGGGTTATGTCTGGTGATACTCTCCGTTTGTACGTCCAAGTATTCCCCTAGGATAATCCAGAACAATCGCAGAGATGACTTATTGTTGCACCAAATCGGAGGTTGGGACATATTATTGGGTGGATGTGCCAGTGCGGAGCTCACAATATAGCAACCGTATCGAGACGTGGGATTGAGGAAGATTCCTCTACAGCTCAGAACCTCGTAGGCACGCTGATCGAAGGTGGTGTCAACATCTAACCATTGGCATGCGATATCAGTGACAAGTCTAGTTAACACGCCTCATAAATAATATCTCATGGATTTTCCCCAGTACTCTGCTCGAAAGTATCGGCGGGTTAGATCCAGAGTCGACCACGGTAGATATGTTTGCGCCGAATAAGGGGCTTACCCTTTCCGGAGGTGGGTTTTTACCTGGTCGGAATCGGCATTTTTAAACGATGGGGCGACGAGAAACGCGAGCGGGAGCAACAACTTGGTCAGTCGAGACAAGAATCTGCTCTCCGCCTCGAATCTCCTCACTTGCCCGGATCCGGCTGCCTTCATAGCCAATGGAGCGCGATGAGAAGGATGAAGTGCGCGATACGGGCATAGACCATCCTGCTTATTTGTATGCGATCCTAACTGAAAGTCCAATTGAGAAATCCGAAAGGAAAGGATGTCCCCAGCACCTGAAGGTTAGATAGTTTAGCTTCAAACTCCCCGCGGAACAATATCATCGTCTCTCCGTGGTAATTTAACCCTGGTAAATAACTACTTAAACTATTGTGAAAGCAGAAGCGGCCTAAGAGGTATCAATTATATAGCACTTGGATGCATCTGGTAGAGGAGTTATATCCACAGAATATTGCTGATCTTATAACCTTCCTTGGTCAAGTCTAGAGGATAGACTGACTCTCAGATCCCGCGGCTTTCGAGAAAGACCCGTGAATGCTACACGATCCCGCACCACAAAGTCCCTACGAACGGGTAAATCTTCACCATTTGAAGAAACCACGGCCTTTCTTATGTGATATCGCAAAGGCTTTTCGATCCGGAAAGAATTCCGACAAGGTAGATACCTAGGTAGGTAGGCATACGACTGGTTCATGTTCCCAAGCTATGACACCCGGACTTGGATATATCGGGTTAGACCGCAGTCGACATGCTGTCTGTATGAGGAAGAACGGGACTTTTGAGACGGTTCTTTTTTTTTTTTTTTTTTGTTTCGCAAACGACAGCCTCCTAGCGCCGTGTCGTCCTTGACTCGTCGAAAATTTCGTATATTATAACGAATAAGAGAATAACGCAGCACTCCAGATTACACATGCCTCAGTAGCAAAGAAGCGTATAGATCTACTAATTAGTGAGTTTACTTAGCCTCAAAGGAGTTCCCGGAGCAAGGATAGTGACATGACATGTAGTTGAATGAAACTCCTGACATGGATTGTAGAGGGAATCTGTCAAAAAGTCGAAAATTAGTCCCTTGCATATTCTCCGTAGCGGTCCCCGCAATCCCGCTACCGATTACTATTCCTAGTTCTGGATCGCGGAGCTCATGCTTTGCTGACAAAAACACCAAGGTACCTCCTTGGTCCGTCCGCGATGCCGCACCAAATTCTGATTGCTAAGGCCGGCCTTCAACGTAGGCATGAGAAAACATATATATCGAGTGTCTGAGGACTTCAACGAGTCCCAAGAAGTTTGAATATACCTTGTCTTATAAAAGATCTAGTATAACAGTCCCTTAAATTGCCATCAGAAGTAATGGATATCAAAGTCAACGAGGCTTCGTCCTCATCTAACGTTCTCACTCTCCACGTATCGGTACTTATCGCGCCCGAGAATGTCGACAAATTCTTGAAATTATTCAAGGCTGTCTTCGACCTCGTAG